GCCCTCGTCAAGGTCGAGAAAGACGCTGTCTTGAAGAAGATGAAGGAACAGCAGAAGCATTCGTGCAGCTGTACCGTCTGTGGGCGGAAGCGGACAGCCATCGAGGAGGAGCTCGAGGTGCTGTACGACGCCTACTACGAGGAGCTGGAGCAGTACGCCAACAACAATCAGGGCGCCTTCGAGAACGGCGGCCCGATTGTCCCCCCACCCCGCTTGTATCAGCCTCGTGTGCACTCTCTCGACCGACATTCACGCCTCCATGGTCATCACCATCCCTCGCAGGGTCGGGTACATGAGATACCCGACGACGAGGAGGAGTTGGAAGAGGATTATGACGAGGACGACGAAGACGACGAGCCCTACAGCGACGACGACCTGGAAGACGAGGCCACCCGCAACGCCCGGGCAGACTTCTTTGCCTTTGGGAACAGTCTCACTGTGAAAGGTAACTCAATGTTTTCTTCATGCGTTCTTGTGTGGACCCTATGGCTGACTTTCCCCAGATGGGATCCTCACCGTGGCCGATGACCTCTTAAAGAACGACGGGAAGCATTTCATCGACATGATGGAGCAGTTGGCGGAACGCCGCATGCAACGCGAGGAAGATACCCAGTACGGAATGGCTGCGGCGCACCAGTCGCTCCATGCCGGCCACAACCACGGGCCTCTCGACGAAGATGACTACGATGATGAAGAGGACGACGACTACGACAGCCAGGAGGATGAGGATTACGAAGAAGATGAAATGGTTTGCTCCGCCAGTGGATTTACGAGTATCACGATGTGGGACCATGGCGCTAACCCGGGGTGTCTACTAGGATGCGATGACGGAAGAGCAACGCATGGAAGAAGGGAGACGCATGTTCCAGATATTTGCCGCTCGAATGTTCGAGCAACGAGTCTTGACCGCGTATCGGGAAAAAGTCGCCGAACAGCGTCAGGAGCTCCTCCTCCAGGAATTAATGGAGGAGAAGAACCTGAACGAACAGCGTGAGGCGAAGAAAGCCCGTGAAGCGCAGAAGCGAAAAGACAAGAAGAGGCAGCAAAAGCAAGCTCGTGAGGAAGAAAGGGCTCGACGCGAGGCGGAGAAAGCGGCCGAAGAGGCTGCCGCTCGTGCAGCCGAGGAGAAGAAGCAGGAGGAACAAAGACGAAAACGAGAGGAGCAGCGCAAGAAGAAAGAGGCCGAAAAGAAAGCCCAGGAAGAGGAGCGTCTCCGAAAAGAGGCCGAGAAGCAGAGGCGTCTGCAGGAGGAACGCGAGCGGCAAGCCGAACAAGAGCGCAAGCAACGCGAGCAGAAAGAACGCGAACGGAAGAAACGCGAGGAGGCTAAGAAAAAGGAGCGCGAGGAGCGTGAAGCCAAAGAGCGCGAAGCTCGCGAGAAGAAAGCCAAGGAGGAACGAGAACGCAAGGCCCGGGAAGAACAGGCCAAGCGAGAGAAGGAGGCGGCGGCCAAGGCAGAGCAGGAAGCCAAAGAAAAAGAAGCCAAAGAGCGGACAAACCGCGAGGCGCAAGCTGCGTCTGCACCGTCCTCTCAACAACCTGCTGCCCCCGCTGCGAAACGAACATCCCAGCCTGGGCCTGGGACGATTCCTCCTCCTCCAGGCTTGCCGCACCCCCAGGGAACCTCCGCCGTGCATTCTCCGCACTTCCAGGTCGCGACGCCCGTCGTGCCCAAGGCCCCGACTCCTGCCCGGCCCCGTCAGCCATCGCAGCAAGGATCTCACACCTCGTCACCGCATTCCCAGCCTGCGACCAGCACTGAGCCTCTGGCCTCGATCTCGCCGCAGACGTTGCCCGTGTCGCAGACGTCGGGGACTCCGACCAGCTCGTCCGGCAAGATCGGTCTTCCCCAACAACAACAACAACAGCCGGTTTTGCATCACCCTCAACCCTCGGCACCCCTGTCGCCGTTAGGAGGCGCGGGGAGGTCGCATCCGCTTGGCTTCCCTGGCATGAATAATGGGTTGCCTACGCATCCTCCGCCAGGCATATCCGGGATGGCGCCGCGTCCTGCCATGGGCCATGAGAATATCCCATTGTACCCTCCGCACTCCGGGCCCGTTGGGAGTCAATTCAGGGGCTTTCCCTCGCCGAATGGGATTCCCATGCCTCCTCCCGGTATCAACAATGCTCGTCCCGTGCAACCGCCCGGTCGAGGGTTCCCTCTAGAGACCGGCCATAACTTGCCGTTCTCCGGACAGCAACCGGTTCCGGGGCCAATATCCACCGCTCAACCGACAGGACGATCGCAGGCCCATTCCAGACAGGCATCGGGCTCCTTTGAGAGGTCGCCTTTGGAGACTCAAGCTCCGATTTCCCGACCAACGCCCATCAAGCGTCCCTCAAGCCCGCAGAAGGAGGGAGAAAAGTCGGGGCAGTCGGATGTGGATGACTTGAGTGCGCAGCTAGGCAGTAGTGCGCTTCTGGACGATACCGACATTCCATTTACGTCCAATCTGTCCCAGTCCTTACCCGGTCCGCCACCTGTGCCAGGTCCTTTTGGCCCATCTCGCGCAAGCTTCGGTGCTTCTCCGTTGTTTGCAGACCCGCTTGGTGGTAAGTATATGATTATGAAAAGAAAAAGGAAGAATTTTAGCTCACATTTTGTTCTAGGGCCCAAGCATCCAGGATTTGCAGGTTCAGGAGGCACCTGGGGTACACAGGGTCCGTTTGGAGTACCTGGATTCCCAGGAGCGTCCACCTGGGGTACTGGAACTGGTAAGTTATTTACTAAATTACTAAATTTCTCAATTGTTCGATCCTGTCGTGTATTAACATCGTCTTAGGTGGTGGTTGGCCTAACCATGCATTCGGTATTGGTGGGCATCATCGGGCGCACACTTCCCGGCCTGTCGCCATTCGGTTGTTGGTCATCCAAGCATGCAAACAACTGAATACCATGAGTCCATCCAAGGGCGCATCCGGCTTCCATGATGTCAACCAAGTCCTTCGTCAGGTCGAGCAATTGAAGCCGCCCAACGAGCCCCCTATCTCTCTCAATGAGATGCTCGATATCTGCGACACAGAAGGCAATCCCCAAAACGGTGGTGGCTCCTTCACGGTCAAGGAAGAAGGCGATGTCAAGTATGTCAAATTCGAGCCGGACAACAACAGCACACTGTCGAGCCAGCGGGGGAATCTCGTACCGGGTGACATAGGTAGTCCTGTTCCCGGCAGCAGCGTACCGGCCTTTGGCGGCATCGGGGCCGCGTCCGGGTCCAGGCAGTTCACGTCGCCGACGAGCTTCTAGGACCTTGCGTTGTGTTCTCCTTCTGTTCTGAAAATGGGCTAGGGGGCCTTGTACGGGTGATCTGGCTTGTAATTCTTGTCTCTCATGAGCGAGTCGGGGTTTTCAGAGCTCATTCCAGGCATCCAGGCGTTCATGATGTATGTACGTCTGTTTTGGCTGATTGGCTGGGTTTCGGGCTGTTTGTGTCTTGCGTCTCCTTTGCAGATAATTCCCTCCGCGCTTTACAAAGCAATTGCATGTCCGGGTCTCCTCCATTATTTCACGCAGCATCATGCCATCAGCTTTGTGGAGTTTCTTTTTCTTTTCTTTTCCCTTTTTCTTCATTTCTGATGGCTCATGTTTGAATGGGATCAGTTTGACTTCTGCCGCCCTTTTTCTTTTTCTTATTTTTTACTCTTTGGATTCCTTCGAACCCGCATCGTACATGTTGCTGGAACCTATGCGTGGCACACCATTTCCCCCTTTCTTGCTTTTTCCCGTATTGTGTATTGTATGTAGTCCAGGAAGGGTAGTTTGTCGTTTTTTATGTTGCCAAGGCAAGGCACGGAAAAAGAAACGACATGATAAATGACCAAATAAATCATGAAACAGTTCTCGAATGATTGCTGTTTCGTACGTTATCAAAAGACGATCTTGTCGTTCTCTCCTGTACTCTGTACTGCCTGCCACGTCTGACGTAATTATTTTTTATCATCGATCTGGGAGTTTGTCAGTGCTGGAAATGACTGTAGACGTATTAACAGAAAGACAGGACATAAAATAATTACAGAACCAGTGTAGACCGTTGAAAGTGATAGTATCACGTCGAGTTTTGTCTGCAGTTTAGCGCGAGCCTAGCAGCGGCTGAGTGGGCTGTCCGCTATCATTATTCATGACGGCAGCTCGTGCACCTCGGCCCCGAACCATCAATCAAATGAAACAACATCCAGACTCGCCCGCCCTCGTCGCACCCCCTTCTTCCCCTGCGCTGCTTGTACTGTCCAGATTGATGGAGCGACAGTTGCCGTGACGAAGGATTCTCAATCAAGGAGCTTTTCGCGCTTGCGCAACGGTAGACTGCTGAAATTCGCCTGCTGCGGTGTTGTCAGCTGCCGAGCTCGTCAGCAACAATGTCATCCAGCACGTCCACCCCCGCCGAGGACCAGGGCCGTCTGCTCGAGGAGGCCTTGGGAGTGGTGCGACAGCAGTCGCATATGATGCGGAAATGCCTGGAAACGCCTGGCAAGTTGATGGACGCTCTCAAATGCGCGTAAGTTCCTCCATTGATTATTCTGCAGGCAGCCAGATTCGGAGAGGCTGGGTCTTTGCTCGGGAGATTGGTTGACATTTGCCAATCAATGACCAGGTCGACTTTTATTTCCGAGTTGCGCACGTCGAGTTTGGGTCCCAAGCAGTATTATGAGCTGTATATGGCTGTGTTTGATGCGTTACGACACCTGGCCGTTTACCTGCGCGAGAGCCACCCGGTGAACCACCTGGCCGATCTGTACGAGCTGGTGCAGTATGCCGGCAACATCATCCCCCGCCTCTACCTGATGATCACCGTGGGGACGGTCTACATGTCGATCCCCGATGCTCCCGTCAAGGAGATCATGAAAGACATGATGGAGATGAGCAGGGGGGTCCAGCACCCCGTCCGCGGGCTGTTCTTGAGATACTACTTGACCGGGCAGGCGAGGGATCATCTGCCCACGGGGACGAGCGAGGGGCCTCAGGGAACCATCCAGGACTCGATCAACTTCATATTGACCAATTTCGTGGAGATGAACAAGCTCTGGGTCCGGTACCAACACCAGGGCCATTCGAGGGAGCGCGAGCAAAGAACGCAGGAGAGACGCGAATTGGAGCTGTTGGTCGGGAGCAACATCGTTCGGCTGAGCCAGCTGGTGGACCTGGATACCTACAAGGCCTCGATCCTGCCGGCTTTGCTAGAGCAGATCGTCCAATGTCGCGATGTCTTGGCGCAGGAATACCTTCTCGAGGGTGAGTAGCTATCCTCCAGATTAACTGGGGTTAACTGCCAGGCACTAAACGGATTCGCAGTGATTACGAAGGTCTTCCCCGATGAATATCATCTCCACACTCTCGATCTGATGTTGACAAACATTGGCCGACTCAACCCGCACGTTGACTTGAAGAAGATCGTGATCGGCCTCATGGATCGCTTGTCGTCGTATGCAGTCAGAGATGAAACGACGGAGGATTCTGCCAAGCGGAAAGAGAAGGAGGAAGAGGCAGTGGCCAGGCTGCTTGGGAAGCTGCAAGTGTCGGATGGAAAAGAAGCACAAGAAAATGGCACGAAGCCCGAGACTGCTGAGGGCGCGAAGCCCGAGGAAGCACCGACGAACGGGACGAAACCAGGGATTCCGGACGACATCAAGCTGTACGAGATATTCTACGACCAAGTCGTGAACCTGATCAAGACGCGGGGCCTGCCGATCCAAGATACGATCGCGCTGCTTGTGTCTCTTGTTAATCTTGCACTGTAAGTGTTGGGCACTTTAAGCGTTGGGCATTTTCTTGTCTGAGGAAATGGCTGACAATGTGAAGCAACATTTATCCTGATCGACTAGGTATGATGAAGGAGGAAATTTTTGGGCTTCTCCATGCTAACCTGGCTCAGAATACGTTGATCAAGTCCTCGAATACGCATCACAGAAAACATCGGAACATGCCGACCAGGCTGATTTGCACTCGACACCTGCACAGCAAAACCTTTTGAACCTTCTTCTTGCCCCACTCCGTTCATACGCCTCTATCTTCACGGCACTGGCTCTGCCGCACTATATTCCGCTCCTTACCACTCAGTCGTATCCTACTCGAAGGGCTGTCGCTACCGAGGTCATCAGGAATGTCTTGCAGAACAAGACCAAGATTACGACAGCAGAGAATCTGGATCGAATCTTGCAGACTCTCCGAGTGCTGATCAAGGAAGGCATCCAGCATCCGGCAGGGTATCCAGGGCTGCACCAGCAACGACGTGGAGAGACGGACGAGACGATCGAGGAGCAAGGCTGGCTTGCGAGGTTGGTGCACCTGATCGAAGGGCCTGATAATGATACGCAGTTGAAGGTAGGGTTTGCTCATTACAAAAATATACGGCATATGCTGATGTCTTGATCAGCTTCTTCAGGCAACCCGTGCGGCGTATGCGGAGGGCAACGAGCGCATTCGATACACTACCCCGGCGATCGTAACGGCGTCGCTGCGACTGGCCCGTAAGTTGAAGGCGCGCGAGCACTACGACGACAACTGGCAATCGCAATCGTCGACTCTCCACCGCTTTTTGCATCAATGTATAAGCAACCTCTATCAACGGGTGAACAGCCCTGGCTGCGCGGAGCTAGCGCTGCGTCTGTTTGTGATGTGTGGCGAGGTTGCGGATCAGACGGGGTTCGAGGAGGTCAGCTACGAATTCTTTGCTCAGGCCTTCACCATCTACGAAGATGCGATCAGCGACTCGCGAGCGCAGTTCCAAGCGGTGTGTATCATCGCCAGCGCTCTGCATGGAACCAGAGGGTTCTCGAAAGAGAACTACGACACGCTGATCACAAAGGCGGCCTTGCACGGAAGCAAGCTGCTGAAGAAGCCGGACCAGTGTCGGGCGGTATATCTCGCAAGCCACCTCTGGTGGGTGGTGGAAAATCCTCACCGAGGCGAGGAGGATGCGAAGAATGTACGTTCTGCTGTACTTGCTGT